GGGTTTTTAAAGGTCTTGCTTAATAACGTGGCACAGTAAGTTTCTTCCAGCTGCCCCGTGTCCCACGAGAAGTGTGGTGGGTGAGCTGAGAGAGGTGACCGAGGTGTTTGGGAATCCAGATGAGAGAAGTAAGGGGGTGCTGGCAGAGCTGTGGTCAGACTGAGTGACTGAGATGCCATGGCCAGAGAACAGCTGCAGTAACTTGACATGTTGTGTGTTTCCCTAGTGACCTGTGGGGTCAGGGGTAGGGGTCGGGGGGGAGGTATAGAGGGTATCCAGGGCCTTTCAGTGGTGGGGGAGCAGCACGGCATCAACGGGTATTTATGGGTCATTCATACCAAGTTCTAATGTCTGGCTTCAGATGTTCAAGAAGATTGATTTACTTAGTCTCCGTCACACCCGTTTCTTGCATCTACCTCCTCAGCTGCTCTGTCTCCGCTGGTTCCTCTCCTTCGCTGTCTTCTAAATCTTGGGGAGCAACGGGGGTTGCTCTTTCCTCTATCTGGGTGGACTCCATCCATTGGTGATCTCAGTTTTGTGGTTTTCGATACCATCTTCTATATCCTGACCATTCTCACATTGATGTCTCCAGGCTGGCCCCCTGCCACACATCTAACCACCCATTTATATTTACAACAGGCATTTCCACCTTGACTTGTCCAAAACGGAACTCCTCATCTTACTCCCTTAAACCTATTCTTCCCTTTCTGTCCCCGACAGCTCAGTGTTTCTTGCTCAGCACACCATCCTTGGAATCTTCTCCGATACCTTTCTCTCCTCCCCTCTGCTTCCAGTTCATCAGCAAATTCTGAAATAGATCCACAGTGTGATCACTTCTCCCTCCACCGTTACCACCATCACCTTGAACTGGCCTCCCTCCAGCTTTGCCCTGGCCGCCCTGCATTCTATTCCCAACACCGGTGCCAGAGCCACCGTTTTCACTTTACTTAGAGCATGTCACTCCCTGTTCAAAATCCTCAAGTAAAGCTCAAAGTCCTAAAAGTCACCTATCATCCTGATCTGAAGGAATGATTGAGTAAATACACAAGTGGGAGAGACTACACAGATCTCCCCGTAAAAGAATTTTAGATATTAGATGAAGCATACCTCTCCACCCCTGAAGTGTGGGCTGAGCACCATGACTTTCTTCTAAATAGTACAGAAAAGGGCGGAAGAGTAACTTCATCACGGAGAAACCTGGCAAGCACCGCTTCAGCTCACTGAGCAAGACAGCACCTACATGGAGAAGTCATGGCGATGGGATGTGATTTAAAACGGCACCTCACCTCTTCCCCCACGCACATAGCCCCAGTGTACTCATGGGAGGAACATCAGGCACATTCCACTCTAGGGACATTCTACAGAATATATGGCCAGTGCTGCTCAAAGCTGTCAGGGACATGAAAAATACGGGAAATCTTAGAAACTGGCAGTCCAGAGGAGTCGGAGATAGGATGACCCAGCGCAGCATGGGGGTCTTGGGTTGGGATCCTGGGACAGAAAGAGGGCCTTAGGATTTAAATAGTTAACAACAGTGTGTCACATTAGCTCACTAGTTGTGACAAAGGTACCATAATAATGTGAGAAGTTAACAATAGGGGAAACTGGCCTTCCTAACTTTTCTGTACATCTGAAACTATTCTAAAATTGATGGGTTTATGTAACCCAACAGTGGTCCCCTGACTGTCCTCCCCTCCTCCACGCGCCCTAGCCACAAGGATCTCTGTTGTTTCTGTAGCTGGGCTTCTCTCCTGAAGTAGATTTTGAGCCCCAGAAGATATTTGGGAATATCCAAAGACACTTTAAGTTGGTGGGGAAGTGCTGCTACAGGCTGGTGGTGGGTGGAGACCAGGAATCATACTAACATCCTGTAATGCATGGGAGAGCCCTCTAACCCTTACTCACCTCCCCAAACCCAGAATGTCAGCAGTGCTGGGGCTGAGAAGCCTGGATCTTTTGAAGTTAGGGTTCACTCTTACCCTTCGGGCTGCTGACCAGTGTCTCTTGCCCTGCTTTATTTATTTTTCTCCTTAGCACTTAATTGTCAGCCTCCGATATGCATGGTTTTCTCGTTCGTCTCTGGGAAATGTATCACCAAGGGGATTTATTGGTAGATTGTTTGGTTCATTTTTATATCCCCAGCATCGACAACTAATCCCGGCACATAGTAGGTGCTCATTAACCAATTAACTGCCATAAACGTCTATAGATGCAAGCAGTGGACCGTTTTAAATTAAATTTAAAATTTCATGGCCGTTAACTGGTTAAATATTTGTTCATTGAATCAAATAATTGATGAAGGGAGTGAATGAATGACAAAGATAACATATGCTTATGCCAAAACATTTGGATAGAAAAGTGAAAATGTGAACATTTCTCCAGCCGCCTAGTCTCCAGAAGTTACCACAGTTAACAATTTATTTTTTTTAATTTGTGTCCAGAATGTTTCGGTTCATTTTTAAGCACATTCATGTACTCTGCACACAATTTATCTCCCCACCCCCCCCTTTTTTTGCACACATATATGGGATCAGTTTAGATTTTCCAGTTAATATATCTGGACATCTTTACATATCAACGTATAGAGTGTGTTCTTACTCCTTTTAATGCATAATATTTTATATGTAGAATTAAGCAAAAATATTTTAATTGCTTACAGTAGCAATGTATAATGCTTGGCTGTAAAGTGGGTAATAGTAATTATATATTTCCTGAAACAAAGAAATGCTTATTTAACGTATCTTTTTAAGTGTTCTTTAAAGCATTTTATATATATACTCCTACTCCTACTTTATAAATACCTCAGGATGGGCATCTCTGTCTTTTAAAATGATCTTTAGTTCCATGTGCCTTTGTATGGGCTGTTCCATAGCAGGCTCTCAGTACCTGGAGGTGGAACGGAATTAAGTTTTCACTTGTTTTGATAAAATTACTGGATCATTACAAAATATTAAAATTTCCCTGGGTTGTAGATCTGCTGGCAAAATTAAGAAATAGTTCTGGGAGGAAATTGCTTTGTTATTTTATTTAAATGAGAATTTTTCTTTTAGAGGCTAGGAATCTAATTTCTCTACTTCTCGTGCGGAGCTGAGGGTATGATGATAACCGAAGAACAGGTTAGGGTGCCCAACTTGAACATGATTCAGTTTCAGTTATGCTTCTCATTGCTTCCAGCATATCAGGCCTTTTCCTTTTTTCCCCTGATGAGATGAGCAATGGGGCAACGTTGGCAGTAGCAAGCTGCGCTGAGATACTGTAAATTAATGCTGCCATTTCAACCTGGCTGCTATCCCTTCCAGCTTCGGTAGCTTCACATTTGGTGAATGGCCACTCTGCCAGGGTACTGCCCTGTCCTCGCCTCTCAGTGCTGGGCTGTTTTATGAGACTATAGTGAGGTACAAGGTGAGTTTGTTGGCATTTAGGCGAACAGATGGTCGAGAAATAATTGTTCTGCTCTCCTGCCAGACCTCAGCCCATGGACTGCCTCCCTTCCCGACGTCTCCCTCTGACCTGCAGTCCCTGCCTCCTTGTTGCATTGATTGGGCATTAGCTTAGGCGATTTGGCTGTGTGTGTGTGTGTGTGTGTGTGTGTGTGTGTGTGTGTGTGTGTCTTACGTCCTGGTGACAGGTGTTCAGTGCCCTCAGGACAGTACCGGTTGTTGACAACAGAAGTGAGAAGACGTTGGTGTGGTTGGCGAGATGTGATTGGTGGACTTGGAGAGGCAAAGTTCTGTTCATCATCAAACTGCGGGTTTTCCTTTTGTAAACTGACCTTTTTTTTGGCTCGTGGTGGATAAGAGATGGCCTCAGTATCACACTGAGTGATACAATTACTTTAATACGCTGACGTTGTTGTATAGCACTGAGACAGTAAACCCTCACATTATGTAGGGAGTGAATTTAATCATAGAAAGAAATAATTTCAGGATAAATTCTGGGAAATGAGATTACAAGCTATCATTATGGGAGGTGATAGAAAGCCACTGTTGAGTGTTTCGTTGTTTTACATGAGCTGCTCAGAGCTTCCCATGCTTAGGAGAATGTAGTAGAATGAAGTTTGTGAGCTTTTGAACAGTTATTATTTGTAAGTAAATCTAAACAATGGCCTTATCCATCTTTTAAACAATTGCTTACACTGTGTCTGCCCTGAAGATGTAGGTATAAGAATACACTTTAGTTTTTATAATTGCCAATCTTCCATCTGATGCTCGTTAAGATTCTTTTTTTCTTTTTTAATTTCAGAGAGGAAGGCAGAGGGAGAGAATGATAGAAGCATCAATGATGAGAGAGGATCATTGATTGGCTGCCTCCTGGGGATTGAGCCCGTAATCCAGGCATGTGCCCTGACCAGGAATCGAACTGGGACCTCCTGGTTCATATCAGCCACTGAACCACAGCGGCCAGACACTCATTAGGATTCTTTAACTTGAGTCGTTAAAATATGAAAATAGAGTATTCTTAAACTTAGGTTCTCTAGACAAATAAGTGCTGATATACTTATATTGGAAAACCGAAAAAAATCTACAACCACTGCATTTATTCATATTCCACAAAGATGGAAAATGCTTTATTAAAATCTAAGCAGCGGTTCTCAACCTGTGGGTCGCCAACCTGTGGGTCGTGACCCCTTTGGGGGGTCGAACGACCCTTTCACAGGGGTCGCCTAAGACCATCGGAAAACACATATATTATTACATATTGTTTTTGTGATTAATCGCTATGCTTTAATTATGTTCATTTGTAACAATGAAAATACATCCTGCATATCAGATATTTACGTTACGATTTATAACAGTAGCAAAATTACAGTGATGAAGCAGCACCAAAAATAATTTTATGGTTGGGGGTCACCACAACATGAGGAACTGTATTAAAGGGTCGCGGCGTTAGGAAGGGTGAGAACCACTGACCTAAGGTCTAAAGCCACGTGTAAGAAAACAGTTCACATGTTTTGGCTTTCTTTCCCCGAAGTGATGATTCTTACTTCTCTCGTCTGCTAGGTCCCTGCGAGCGGAGCGATGGGGAGACACCTGGCCGCGCTCCTGCTGCTGCTGCTGCTCCTCCAGCATTTTGGAGACGGCGATGGAAGCCCAGCGCCCGACCAGACGGCTCCGCAGTTCACACAGCTCCACTACAACGTCACTGTGCACGAGAACTCCGCCGCCAAGACCTATGTCGGGCATCCCACCAAGATGGGCATTTACCTTTCCAACCCAGCGTGGGAATTACGGTACAAAATTGTCTCGGGAGACAATGAAAACCTGTTCAAAGCGGAAGAGTACGTGCTTGGAGACTTTTGCTTCCTAAGAATAAGGACCAAAGGAGGAAACACCGCTATTCTCAACAGGGAGGTGAGAGACCATTACACCTTGGTCGTCAAAGCGGTGGAAAGGAACACGAACGCGGAGGCCCGGGCCGTGGTCCGGGTGCAGGTGCTGGATACAAACGACTTGAGACCGCTGTTCTCGCCCACCTCGTACAGCGTCTCTTTACCGGAAAACACAGCCATAAGGACCAGTATTGCAAGGGTCAGTGCCACCGATGCAGACATAGGAACCAATGGGGAGTTTTACTACAGTTTCAAAGACCGAACAGACATGTTCGCTATTCACCCAACCAGCGGTGTCATCGTGTTAACCGGGAGACTTGATCACGCAGAGACCCCGCTGTATGAGATAGAAATCCTCGCGGTGGACCGGGGGATGAAGCTGTACGGCAGCAGCGGCATCAGCAGCATGGCCAGGCTCACGGTGCACGTGGAGCCGGCCAACGAGTGCGCGCCCGTGATCACCGCGGTGACATTGTCGCCGTCAGAACTGGACCAGGACCCCACATACGCGGTCGTAACTGTGGAGGACTGTGATCAGGGAGCCAATGGGGAAGTAGCGTCTTTAAGCATTGTGGCCGGTGACTTCCACCAGCAGTTTAGAACGGTGAGGTCCTCCCCGGGGAGTAAAGAATATAAAATCAAAGGCACTGGTGGCATCGACTGGGACAGTCATCCTTTTGGCTACAATCTGACGCTTCAGGCTAAAGATAAAGGCACGCCTCCCCAGTTCTCTGCGGTGAAAGTCATCCATGTGACTTCTCCACACTTCCGAGCCGGGCCAGTCAGGTTTGAGAAGGATGTTTACCGGGCAGAAATCAGCGAACTGGCTCCTTCCAACACCCCCGTGGTCATGGTAAAAGCCACGCCTCGTTATTCCCACTTGAGGTATGTTTTCAAAAGTGCGCCCGGAAAAGCCAAATTCAGTTTAAATCACCACACTGGTCTCATTTCCATTTTAGAACCGATTAAAAGACAGCAGGCATCCCATTTTGAACTTGAAGTAACAACAAGTGACAGAAAAGCCTCCACCAGAGTCTTGGTCAAAGTCCTAGGTGCTAACAGCAACCCCCCTGAATTTACCCAGACCTCCTACAAAGCATCTTTTGATGAGAATGTCCCCGTTGGCACCACGGTCATGAGTGTGAGCGCAGTAGACCCCGATGAGGGCGAGAATGGGTATGTGACGTACAGTATTGCAAACCTCAACCCCGTGCCGTTTGTGATCAACCATTTCACTGGTGCTGTGAGTACCTCAGAGAACTTGGACTATGAGCTGATGCCTCGGGTTTATACCCTGAGGATCCGCGCGTCAGACTGGGGCCTGCCGTACCGCCGGGAAGTCGAGGTCCTGGCCACCCTTACTCTCAATAACTTGAATGACAACACACCCTTGTTTGAGAAAATAAATTGCGAAGGAACAATTCCCAGGGATCTAGAGGTGGGAGAGCAAATAACCACCGTGTCTGCCATCGATGCCGATGAACTTCAGTTGGTCCGCTATCAGATTGAAGCTGGCAATGAACTAGATTTGTTTAGCTTACATCCCACCTCCGGGGTGCTGTCCTTAAAGCAGTCGCTCACGGAAGGCTTGGGGGCCAAGGTGTCGTTTCACAGTCTGAGGATTACAGCTACAGATGGAGAGAATTTTGCCACGCCGTTCTATATCAACATGACCGTGGCGGGCAGTCGCAAGCCAGTGCACTTGCAGTGTGAGGAGACCGGTGTTGCCAAAATGCTGGCGGAAAAGCTGCTCCAGGCCAATAAGCTGCACGGCCAGGGGGAGGTCGAGGACGTCTTCTTCGATTCTCACTCTGTCAATGCGCACGCCCCGCGGTTTAGCAGTCATCTTCCCGCGGGCATCGAGGTGAAGGAGAGCCAGCCCGTGGGTTCCAGCATCCTCCTCGTGAATGCTACCGACCTCGACACTGGCTTCAATGGGAAACTGGTCTACGCCATTTCTGGAGGAAATGAGGACAGCTGCTTCCTTATTGACGTGGACACTGGAATGCTAAAGGTTCTATCTCCCCTTGACCGTGAGACGACAGACAGATACACCCTGAATATTACTGCGTCTGACCTTGGTCTGCCGCAGAAGGCCGTGTGGCGCCTTCTGGATATCAGGGTCCTGGATGCCAACGATAACCCCCCCGAGTTTCTACAGGAGAGCTATTTTGTTGAAGTGAGCGAGGACCAGGAGATGGGGAGTGAGATCATCCAGGTTGAAGCCACCGATAAGGATCTCGGGCCAAATGGACAGGTGACGTACTCCATCCTCACGGACACTGATCAATTTTCCATCGACAGCGTGACCGGCGTGGTGAAGGTCGTGCAGCCCCTGGACCCTGAAGTCCAGCCCGTGCATTACTTGAAGATCGAAGCCAGGGATCAAGCCACAGAGGAGCCCCGCTTGTTTTCCACGGTGCTTCTGAAGGTCTCCGTGGAGGATGTGAATGACAACCCCCCCAAGTTCATTCCAGCTCATTACCACGTGAAAGTGCGCGAGGACCTTCCCGAAGGGACCATCGTCATGTGGTTGGAGGCCTATGACCCCGACCTCGGCCAGTCTAGTCAGGTGAGATACAGTCTCATGGACCACGGCGAAGGCCACTTCGATGTGGATAAACTCAGCGGAGCGGTTAGGATTGTACAGCAGCTGGACTTTGAGAGGAAGCAGGTCTATAATCTCACCGTGAGGGCCAAAGACAAAGGGAAGCCAGTTTCTCTGTCCTCCACGTGCTACGTGGAAGTGGAGGTCGTGGATGTGAATGAGAACCTGCACCCGCCCGTGTTTCCCAGCTTTGTGGAGAAGGGGGCGGTGAAGGAAGATGTCCCTGTTGGCTCGTCGGTGATGAAAGTGGCAGCTCGTGATGAGGACGCAGGAAGAGATGGGGAGATCCGCTATTCCATTAGAGATGGTTCTGGCATTGGTGTTTTCAAAATAGATGAAGAAACAGGTAACTATGTTCCTCTTTCTCTGTTTGATCTCCCCTCCTGTTTTTTCTACAGTGACCACCTGCCCTGTGCTAGCTCCTTCACGGTCTCCCCTGTAGGTCCCCGTTGGCCTGTTAGGGCTCAGGGTAGCAGCGGCAATGCCCGTGCGTGCTTTTCGTCCTCTTGCAGGTGTCTGTATGTATAGTGAGTCACGGAGATGGAACCAATGGAACCTGGTTGAGCTGCCCTATAATCAGTAAAAAACAAGGAAACATTGAAATCATGACTACCGATATGGATCTCTTTGTTTCTGCTCTTATCTGATCAGAAGCATCCTTGTGGTTTTGCTTAACCTGAAGAAGCGTTGGCAGAGTTTTTGCAGCTAGAATGTTTGCAGCCTTAGAACTGTCACTACCACCCCGTCTAGCATGCCATGCAGAGGTTACTGCAAACATGCAGAATTCTGCAGTGCACCAAGAGAAGACTCTGCTAAAACTTCCGTCACATGATCTGCTTTGCTCAGTGCCCCCTGCAGGTCTTGTTTAAGAGTCTGATGTAGAATGTTGAGTGGAGAAGACCTGGATTGGAGTTCTGGCTCCTTCAGTTGTTAATTGGGTGATTTGGGGACAAGTTCATTATCTTCTTAAAACTGACTTTCATCATCTATAAGATGGACACACTCAAAATTACCACAAGGTTTACGTGAGGATGAAGTGAAATAACACGGGAAGGATTCCTAGCAGGTGTTAGAGTCTAATAGTGTCTTGGAAATGGTAGCGGTGCTTTGTTAGGCTAGTCTCCCACCTACCAAAGGTCCTCACGTCAGAACATCTGAGGCAGCCAATTTATGCTAGAGAGTCCTGTTTTGCACTTTGTACGTATCTCTGAATTTAGCTGCTTTACATAGCTAATTCCTGTGGTTATATGTCATTCTCCTCTGATGGGATGCGAACCTTTGTATTCCTTTGCTGGGGCTGCCATAATGAAGCACCACAGACCGGGTGGCTTAAACACAAATTAATATTAATATTAATTAATATTCTCACAGTCTGGAAGTCCAAGATCAAGGTGTTGACATGGGAGGTTTCTTCTGAGACCTCGCCTTGGCTTGTAGATGGCTGTCTTCTCTCTGTGTCTCCACATGACTTTCCCTCTGTATGTCGTTGTCCTAATCTCTTCTTATAAGGACACCAGTCGTATTGGATTAGGGACCACCCTGATAACCTCATTTTAACTCCTTTAAGGCCCTCTCTCCTAGTGCAGACATGGTCTGAGGTAGAGGGATTAGGGCTTCAATACACGAATTTTGGGTGTTATAATTTACCCCTAAACCACCTTTAAGGGCAGGCTTTTAATGTTAGCTCATGCGTTCTCTATCCTCAGCGTCTAGCCCAAAGTGCCTGCCATGTAGAAGCTGCTCACTAAAGATTAAAAGGCTGAATGATTAATTTAATGACTACTTTGACTTTGAATGCCCCCCCCCCACCCCCCTGAGAAGGGTAGTGGAAACTGGGTAATGACGACATTTATCAGCATAGATGGAACTCACTTTGTTTACTAATCTCATTGATGTTTCCTGTATTACTAATTCCATTCTAAAAAGGGATGTTTTCTTATTATATTAAAAGTTTCTTTTAAAGTAATACCTTGGGTATTCAGTCAATACCCACCCCTGTACCCGCCCACACATCTAATAGGTATATAACACATGAAAAATAGGATATTCTCCTAGAAGTAAGTTATTTTAGATGCTACAATATTTTAATGTGTTCTGGTTTATTCAAGGGATTCTTTTTCGAATGAATTAAATACTACCAGCATGTATCACACACATTTATCTACCACTCATCTGAAATACCCAAAATAGGTTAATTCAAGAGAAAATAGCATAATCAATAGCAATTCGTAGTCCTTCATCTGAAGAATAGAATAGATTTTTTTGTTGTTGTCATATTCTCCAACATGAGTTAGAATTTTCAGGTGCAATGTCAACAGAGAACAATACCCCAAAGTGAGGAGCTGAAACTCCGAAGTGTTTTGAATTTCCTCAGGGTAGTTATCCCTACTTTTTTTCCTTTTCCAAAGTGGGTTTTAAAAGCCTAAAAAGAGCTGTTGTAACTGAAAATTCGAACAGAAAATAGAACCAAAACCTTAATTTACATTTCTTTGATGACTTAAATTATATGAGCACTGCTTTTGGTTTTTTTCTTTCAAGTGAAAAGAGTATTTTTGTTGCTTTTTAAAGCCTCATTTAGAAACAAGTACTTTTCACCTATATATTTAAGAGACTGAGATATTTTTACTACCCAAGAAAGAAAAAAGAGGGAACATCCCACCCAGCACTGCCGAGTCCTGAAATAGATCCCCAGCGGTTTGCAAGCTCCGTGGCAGGGCCAGACTTCACGGGAGGCCGGGATTATGGGCAGTGGGGCTGGGAAGTATATATGAAACTGTTCTGCGTTTGTATAAATATTGACATTTAAAGGTGAGAGAAAGAAAAGTTGGCCGTTTCTAGGTCACCTATTCTGTAATTCTTGCTTTCCAGAGCAAAATACGGCATCTAAACCTAAGTAGACTTAGGTTTAGATGCGTTTTGAAATGAAATACAAGTGATATAATAATGACACATTGGCCTGGTATACATTACAAGATGTATTTTTGGCAGTAGAATTATCAGTGCGAGTTATTTTAGAGAATCCTGGCAAGTCAACAGATATCATAATGTTGAATCCCTGCAGGGAAGGTCAGTGGGTTTTGTGCAGTAGAAATGCTGAAATTAGGCAGGCTAATTTCTTTTATTTGGGGTTTGCCTGATTAATTTCTAGGACAGGTTGGAGGTGTAGAGAGGTGCTTGTCCAATGAAGAAAAGCCGGAGCAGTTCAGGAACACCAGTGGGGATCCCCGTGGGACCCAGCACTGACTCTTGGTGTGGGTTGAGTTGGCTCAGGTCAGGTGTGTTAGCACCTGCCTAGAGCTTCAGTGTCTGCTCATTGCCTGTCTCTGCCAGGCTCTGACTGTCTCTCCTAGTCATGCCTTTCCTGTTGGGCTAACTGACATGGGCCCACACAGGAGTCCTCTGCCTCTGAGTACTAAGAACCTGCCCACTTAACTGGTTAGTACTTCTTGCCTTTGACTTTGAGTAACATAACCAAGTATTCGGGATGTTCTACCTATTTCAGCATTGTCAAGTATGTGTATCATTTGTATACTTTTCATAGAACAGAGAACATATTCAGAAATCTAGATTTAGTTCTTACTGTTTTTTAAGATCTTTTCTTAAAGGAGCTTACATTTGAAACATCCCTTGAAAAGTAGTTTTGCGTTTTTTTTTTTTTTAAGAAATAGAAATTCAGTGGACTGCCTAAAATATGTACAGTCCTGTCGGGTTTAAGTTTTGTAGGCACTTTATAACTGGCTTTGCAGGGAGCTCACGGTAATTGCCTTGTGGGAGTGACAGCTGACTCATCTGCTAATCTCTGTATCACATGCTTTGCCTGGCGAGGCCTCTGGGTGGGCGTTAGGAATTGTTCTCACAAACCAGGCCCACATGATTGCTCTTCCCTGTGAAGTTTGGAAGGGTAGAGAGTGATGTGAACAATTACTCGTAAAGTCAGTCTGGTTAAGAGCCAATCTCCAGTGCTGTCATTAAGACCCCCCCCACCCCCCTTTTTGTCCCAACATCTACACCAAGCATGTCAAACTCAAAGGCTAACACGGGTCAAATAAACAAGGTTTACGTTCATGTGGGCTGCAAAAAAAACAAAAGCTTCAATTTTCATAGAAACGTAGGTTTATTTCAATAGAGACATGCTGAATAAAAAGGGCTGAAATAAATGACTCATCGTTAACATAAAATGATAGAACATTTTAATAAAAATTAATGTTTTCTTGAACATTAACTTACCAGACACTGAATAACTGCACAAATTAATAAGTGTGACGCAAATAAACCTATTTTTCTTGTTCTCCGAAAGCAAAATATTTATCGTTGTGCACACCAGACAAGTCAGTCCAAGACAAATGATGTGGAAATCGGCTGCTAAAATATTTGCTGCTGGTATTAGTGGAGAGAAATGGTGTGCCTGCGTGTAAAGTGCGTAAGGGAAATGAATTTTTATTAAATCATTTCTTACATACCCTTATATTGGCTGGGTCGCAAAAATATTTGTTGTGGGCTGTGAGTTTGACATGCTTGATCTCCAGTGAGGATTATAACTCAGGTTTAATAGGCCTTAGTGGAGCAAGTATCTTTAAAGCATATGTAATTTCCCATTTACGTTTGATTTGCCTGACCTTATAGTGCTCAGCATTCACTTCATTCTCACTTCAGATATGTTCCTGGTTCCCTTTGTTGTAAGCTTCAAAGTTGAGTGGAATAGAATCTTGAGCATCTGTCCTTAGATTTGTGGAATCAATTCAGTTTGGTGTTCGGGGCTGATGGGTACCCTTCCATGTTACCGTATTTGCCGGCGTATAAGATGATTTTTTGGCCCTGAAAAATATGCCTCCAAGTGGGGGGTCGTCTTATACGCCAGGTACACTTCAGATAGACTGCCCATAGTGCTTGCCCCGTGCCATAATGGCCTCCCGATGCCCGCCCACTTCATTCCACATACCGTTCAGGCATCAGCAG